GATAGTCCACAGGTGAAAGCAACTGCTCCTGTCAAAGTATATGTTCCTCCAATCCCATTTCCACAGAGATTGTAAAAACATAAACTCGACAAGCAATTCCAGAAATTTTTGGATGTGTTCAAGAAGCTGCATATTAACATACCATTTGCTAAAGCTTTAGCCCAAATGCCCAGCTATGCTAAGTTCATGAAGGATATTCTATCAAATAAGAGGAAGCTGGAAGACAATGAAACAGTCATGCTTACTGAGGAGTGTAGCGCAATTCTCCAACACAAATTACAACCGAAACTAAAAGACCGAGGGAGTTTTACTATTCTTTGTCACATTGGTAATTTGTATATAGATAAGGCGTTGTGTGATCTACGAGCTAGCATTAATTTAATGCCTTTATCTCTTTTCCGGAAACTAGGTTTGGGGGAAGCAAAACCGAAACTAGGTTTGGGGGAAGCAAAATCGACAACAGTTTCACTACAGTTGGCTGACAGGTCGATCAAACACCCTCGTGGTATTTGTGAGGATATTTTGGTGAAGGTTGACAAGTTTATCTTCCCAGCAGACTTCATTATTCTGGATATGGAAGAAGATAGAGACGTCCCCCTCATATTGGGTCGTCCATTTTTGGCTACGGGAAGGGCTTTGATAGATGTGCAAAAGGGTCAGTTGATATTGAGGTTAAATGAAGAAGAACTGACAATCAACGTGTTTCGAGCTTTCAGATTTCAGAGCGAACCGGATTCTTGCATGCAGATTGATGTAATAAAAGAAGCGGTGTTAGAGACATTCAAACTAGATCACCCTCAAGATCCGCTTGAAGCGTGCTTAGTACATTGTCAAGATTTACCATCAGACAAAGAGGAAGCAGAAGAATGTGCACGTTATTTGGCAGCCATACCACCATTCTTCAAGCAACCGCGTTTGGAGCTCGGTGAAAGACCTACAACACCTTTACCATCTATACAACAAGCTCCAACTCTTGAACTCAAACAACTGCCAACCCATCTTCGCTACGCATACTTGGGGGAAAAGAATTAACTTCCAGTAATTATCTCAAATAGTCTTACAGAAGTGGAAGAGGATCAATTGCTGAGGGTGCTTCGAGATCACAAGACAGCAATAGGATGGACGATATCGGATATAAAAGGGATCAGCCCTTCGCTTTGTATGCATAAGATACTGATGGAAGACGATTACAAAGCTTCAATCGAGCATCAATGCAGATTAAACCCGACTATGCAGGAGGTGGTAAGGAAAGAGGTGTTAAAGCTTCTGGATGCAGGGATCGTATATCCTATATCAGACAGCCATTGGGTGAGTCCATTGCAGGTCGTACCGAAAAAAGGAGGAATCACGGGTGGTTCCAAATGAAAATAACGAGCTTATCCCTACACGTACAGTCACGGGGTGGAGAGTTTGCATTGATTATCACAAACTCAACAACGCCACAAGAAATGATCACTTTCCCCTTCCTTTCATTGACCAGATGTTAGAGAGACTCGCTGGACATGCTTACTATTGCTTTTTAGATGGCTATTCGGGGTACAACCAGATCCCTATTGCACCTGATGATCAAGAGAAGACGACATTTACATGCCCTTACGGCACTTTCGCTTATAGGAGGATGCCCTTCGGCCTTTGCAACGCTCCAGCCACTTTTCAACGTTGTATGATGTCTATTTTCTCAGACATGGTGGGTAATATCATTGAGGTGTTTATGGACGATTTCTCAGTATTTGGAAAATCATTTAAGGAATGCCTTGAACATTTGGGAAAAGTGCTGCAGCGGTGTGAGGACACAAACCTCGTATTAAATTGGGAAAAATGCCACTTCATGGTTCAAGAAGGGATTGTGTTAGGACATTTAATCTCAGCACGGGGTATTGAGGTTGATAGAGCTAAGATACAAGTCATCGAAAAACTTCCACCGCCAGTAACAATAAAAGGAGTTAGAAGTTTCTTGGGTCACGCTGGGTTCTACCAACGCTTCATCAAAGACTTTTCCAAAATTTCGAAGCCATTGTGCAATTTATTGGAAAAAGGGGCCCCATTTCACTTTTCTGAGGAGTGCTTGATAGCTTTCAACACTTTAAAGAAAAAATTGGTTTCCGCTCCAGTGTTGGCTCCTCCAGACTGGGATTATCCATTTGAACTTATGTGTGATGCCAGCGATCATGCAGTGGGGGCAGTGTTGGGTCAACGCAAGGATAAGATTTCTCATGTTATCCACTATGCCAGCAAGACTTTAGATGAGGCTCAAATGAATTATGCTACTACGAAGAAAGAGCTTTTGGCAGTGGTGTTCGTTGTTGACAAATTCTAGTCATATTTGATTGGGTCAAAAGTGATTGTCTATACGGATCATGCAGCATTGAAATATCTAATGAGCAAGAAGGACGCAAAACCAAGGCTTATTCGATGGATACTCCTATTGCAAGAATTTGATTTGGAGATCAGAGACAAAAAGGGGAGCGAGAATGTTGTTGCAGATCATTTATCTCGCCTTGAATCACATGAGTCATACCCTACGGAGGAGATCAATGAAGTTTTCCCAGATGAAATGCTCTTTCAGATTATCACTACGCCATGGTATGCCGATTATGTGAATTATTTGGCTCGCTCCATCATTCCACCAGAATACTAGAGTCATCAAAAGAAGAAATTCTTCAGTGACCTAAAACACTACTTTTGGGATGATCAAATCCTTTACAGAAGGGGTCCAGATCAGATCATACGCCGTTGTGTGCCAGAAGTAGAACAATATCAAGTATTAGAATCATGTCACTCTGCACCGTATGGGGGCCACTTTGCAGCAACCAAGACAGCAGCAAAGGTACTGCAGTCGGGTTTTTATTGGCCTACGCTGTTCAAGGACGCACATTATATGGTGAAGAATTGTGATAAGTGCCAGAGAACAGGAAACATCTTAAGGAGGAACGAGATGCCCTTGAACGGTATCTTGGAGGTTGAAATATTCGACGTTTGGGGTATTGACTTCATGGGACCATTTCCTCCATCCTATGGTCAACAATACATACTGGTGGCAGTGGACTACGTGTCTAAGTGAGTCGAAGCTGTGGCTTTACCAACTAATGACGGCCGGGTAGTGACTCAATTTCTGAAGAAAAATATTTTCACAAGGTATGGCACCCCGAGAGCGATTATTAGTGATGGTGGAAAGCACTTTTGTAACCGCCTCTTTGCGTCGTTGTTGGCCAAATATGGAGTGAAACATCGTGTTTCGACTCCATATCATCCTCAGACTAGTGGGCAAGTGGAAATCTCCAATAGGGAATTAAAGAAGATTCTTGAAGCTACGGTCAATGCATCACGTAAAGATTGGGCTAAGAAATTGGACGATGCACTTTGGGCGTATAGAACAGCATTTAAGACTCCAATTGGCATGTCTCCATATCGACTAATATTTGGAAAGGCATGTCACCTACCCGTTGAGTTAGAACATAAAGCATACTGGGCGACGCACTTACTCAATTTCAATATGAGGGCAGCAGGAGAAAAGAGAGGTCTACAACTTCATGAGCTAGATGAGTTTCGTTTGGATTCGTATGAGAATACAAAGATTTACAAGGAAAAGACCAAGAGATGGCACGACATGCATATAAGGGAGAAAGAATTTGAGGTTGGTCAGCAAGTGTTGATGTTCAATTCACGCCTCAAACTTTTTCCAGGAAAGCTAAAGTCTAGGTGGTCGGGTCCATTCACAGTGGTAGCTGTGTTTCCACATGGTGCTGTGGAAGTGATGTCTCAAGATCAACAAAGGAGATTCAAAGTAAACGGACAACGGTTGAAAGCGTATTGGGGAGGTGACTATTCCAATGAGAAAACAACTGTGCCACTTGACAATGTAGAGTAGCCAGGACAACAAAGTCTAGCTAAAGACTATAAATAAAGCGCTTATTGGGAGGCAACCCAATTTCTGAACCTTTTAGTTATTTTGTTTTCTGCATTGCATTGCATATAGATTTATTTTAATTGTTAGTTGCATTAGATTTAGGCACGTTTACATTTATACATTATCATCATCTGGTCATGTTTCCATTGAAGCCCTTAAATATAATGTTGGTTATTTTGAGTGTTTGGACTAAGTAACATAGGTTTTGGATTATTTGATCTCTACTATTTGATGATTGCCATATGCAGGAACATGACGTCATGGAACACTCAGACCAACGTCGACCAAAGGGAAAGCATGATGAAAAAAAGATTGTCTAGCCGTCACCTACAGTACCTTCCACAGAAAAATTCGGGGAGTACCTTCGTCCTTTTCCTCCCAACCCCCTTACATTTTTTACTTATGTTTTAAGACATTGAGGACAATGTCTGGTTTACGTTTGGGGGTGGGAAACACTTTGTGTTTTTGGTTTTCGTATGTTTTCGTGTGTTGTTTTTCATATGTTTAAAAAAAAAACAACAAAAAAAAATTAATTAGTTAACTTTTTATTTTTGTTTGTTTGTGTGCTTGTGTGGGTTGGACAATTTGGCTGACAATGATGATTAAATTTGAGA